AAGGTACCTTCACCAGACCTCATCAGAGGAGTGAAGACAGGCATCTGTATTTCTTCGGATTCTCTAGGTCAATCAGATGCACACCGGCAGCATTGAAAACCCTGAGACGACGTGTGCCCCGTCAAAAAAATTGACCACTGGGCAATGCCTGAGCTCCTGTTCTGCTCTGCACACCTAGCTGTACCCAGAATTGCCTGAAGGGCTTCTAGAAATACCTTTGCTTGGGCCCCCTACCAAAGAGTCTAGTTCAGTTGTTTGGGGTAGGGCCTAAAGGGGTATTTTGTGAAAGTTACGCTAGTGTTTCTAATAAGCACCCAAGGATGATAGCCGCTCTTGTCTTGTTTTTCTCCTACACTGTCTCTTTCACTGAAGAGGAAGGGCTCAGTAAAGGAGAGAGGCAGCCAGTGGATTTAAAGTCAATAGACCTGGATTGAATGCTAGTTCTACCTGCTAACTGTATGGTCTTAAGCAAATCATTTATCCTCTAGGTTTCAGGTTCCATGTTTCTAAAAGTGGGTGTATTTGTTTCCAATAACTGCTTTAACAAATTGGCCACAAACTTGGTGGCTCTAAAACAACAGAAATCTATTGTCTTTCAAATCTGGAGGCCATAAATCCAAAATCATTACCAGTGGACCAGATCCAAGGTGTCAGCAGGGCCACACCCCTCCGGAAGCTTTAGGAGAAAATCTGTTTCTTGTCTTTTCCAGCTCCTGTGTCAAATATTCCTTCTTCTAAGGGTACATATACATTTAGAGTTTATGTACATATTCTACCATAATCTCCCCATCTCAAGATCTTTAGTTTAACGATGTCTGCAAAGTCCTATTTTGCCATATAAGGTAACATTCACAGGTTCCAGGGATTAGGACCATGGGCAGCTTTCAGAGGGCCATTACTGAGCCCACCACAATTGCACAAATAATGAATGCCCTGACTACCTGACTTATTCTACAATAATTACTTACTAAGAAATAGTAACGGTAAGATAAGCATGTGAAAACACCTTAAAATGTTATGCAAACACAAGCTATAACCATTATTATCACTTTCCATGACTCAACTTTTAAAATCTCCAATGATATGTACTAACCCCTGGCAGCTTCCCATCTGCTCTCACAGAACATCTCCCCTGAGGCGGAGCCAGGACCACCCTATGTTTATACAACCCCTTGTGAGAGTTAGAAAGGGAAGCGACTGCATCCTCGGGACACTTTACCTATTCTGTTGGAAAACTGGCAAAATATATTCTGCCATCTATCGAAAACTTGTAAGGGGAATTGGGCAAATAAGTAAACATATTAAGGTTAGTGGGAGTCAGGTTTCTTTGCATCAAAAAAGGAGTTAAAATATGAAAGAGTTTTCTCTTGATTGGAATGAAGTATTGATGTAAACTCTTGGTTTTCAAATACATAAAGATACATACAGGAATAAATGTAGATGTTGTATTAGTCAGGGTTCTCCAGAAAAATAGAACCAATAGGATGTGTATATATAAAAAGAGAATGAATATGTTAATATTTGGAATGGTCACATAACTCAGTGAACCAATACTTTTTTCAAATGATCAATACATGCAGGTACAAAATCATGCATGAGTAAAGATTCATTCAATATTCACAGTAGACCAATGGATTTCAAAGTAAGGGGAAAGTTCATTGATTCCACATTGGCAAAATCTGTAAGAAACTACCACTTGCTGAGTGTTGGAATACTGCCAAAGACAAATATCTGTAATTATCTGAAAAGGCCAATGCAATATCCCCCGCTTCCCCAACTATTTATCTGTGAATATTTTCTTCATACACTTCAGGAAGAACACATATTACAACCAACTGAATGCAGAAGCAGATGTAAGAATCTTGCTCTCTTCTATTAAGCCAGACATTAAAAAGAGATTTACAAAGTTGTAAAACAATGCCTCTCTTCTCACTAATGTTTTGGAAATAATTATTTTTCATAAAAAAGCATTTTGTTTGTTAACATGTAGCAGGCTACTATAGTTATTTTTAAAGTAAAATAAAATTTTCTCAGTTAAAATTAAAATGGTAAGTACTGATAGAACCACATAAACAAAAGCTCTTTAGGATCTTCAGCAACTTTAAGGATAGGAAAGGATCCTGAGACCAAAAAGTCTGAGGATTGATGGTTTAGTTGTTTTCTGTATTTAGCCTCCATACTTACAAGATTGTAACCTTACCTCACTTGGAATTCTTAATGCTTCCCAGGACCCAGGCCAGGAAGTTGCAGCTCACACCAGCTGGCATTCTTGCTATTCGTGGAAGACAGAGTGGACATCGGATACTTTTCCCTTACTTCTGTGTCATTCATTTGGGGTGCTATGGGCCAAAGAGTACACGACCAGTGAACATGGCTTGTAACCAAAGGGACACCATCCTCCACGTTAATGAGATGAATTTCAAATCAGAAAACCAGTTGGAACTGTCTTATGGAGCTATTTTAGACAAGTGTTCCTAAGCAAAGGAACAATTTAAAGGCCCATTTAGAACTAGGATTTAGGCACAATGTTGATTTACCACATTCCAGTCAAAGTTCAGCAGACCTCATTTGTTCATTTTTTATTGAGTTATCTTTTTCTTTCCTTTTGGTACATCAGTTACCTATAATATATATAATTATTCTAGAAATCACATTTATAGTTTATTATTCAAATGTATTAAAGTTCTACAGGTCAATCTACAATAATTAAAATCAAATATATAAAGTCTGAATGGTCTTATATTCAAATGCCAACTCAAATCAGCTGTTCAGGAAACAAATTGATTCATCTATCAGGTAAGATACACCTTCCAAAAGATAACAGAAAGGATGCCCAATTAATTCAGGCATATACTATTCTCTATAGGTTTGCTACAGAAATGATACTTCTGTTTTATTTGATGCATAAATTCTGTGAACAAGTCCTGGGGATGGCATTAAACAATTTCTTGAAAATTTTTCACAATGTTTGGATCACACACACTTGGGTTATAATGTGTACACCCCAGGTTTTGTAATGCCATGATGAAGTTCTGATATTTATCAGAATAAACTTTATAAAATTCTTGATCAGATAATAAAAAGATAAATAAAAACAATGTTTACCAATTGGTTTCAAGATAAAACTTTTTAACTGAAATTTGGTATTTACATTCAATTCAACAATCTGGAAATTATCCATGTGCCTGGCTAACTAGCTGACTAGCTTTAGATTAATTTCATCTATCAGTTCATTGAATTATTCAATGAACATCTATTGATATGTATACATATTGATGTATGATGTATGTCCAAAATATGTAATTGACATTATCCTGGGATGATGGAAGAAAACAAAATCCTTGTGCTATGTTCTTCCATACTTGGTAAATGTATCTTCCAGGCTAGCTGTGACCTTGGCTGGGAAAGTACTGATATCAGAGACAGATTTCAGTTACAATAAGGAAGGGATGGTAGAGAAAGGTTGATTACAGATTAAATTAATCTGTACAGTAAAATAAATGAATATTCATTTCAGAGAAACCTGAAGTTAGCTGTTCTCTAAGGTTGTGTTTTATTACTACACTGAAAGCTGCATGAAGGCAGGGACTAGATGTCTTGTAAACTGTTGTATCCTCAGGGTCCAGCACTATGTCCCTAGCAGACAGCAAAGTCCNATTCACAACAGATAAAACTTGTCTTCAAAGACAGCACTTCCCAACTTTTTCATATCATGTGTAGACAGAAAGTAAAAAAGAAAAAGATGAGATTTAAGAATCATTTGACTTCTAACCTCAAGAAATATGAGAATAAACATGTTGTTTTAAGCAATTTTAAAAAACATGTAGTAAATGTAAGCATTATTATTAATGCTTTAAAAAAGGCCAACAATAAAAACAGATTAGTCAGACAACATAAATTTCACTAAGTTGAGTAATTTTCAGGCAGCAAAATGATTACATTACATGTAATTTTAAACATGGAAAGCCAATACCAATGCAATTCTATTTAGGGCAACAGGAAAATTATATGTATTTGTATCTTAGCTATGTACTAAGGTTTCTTCTTTTAAAATTCTATGAAGCATAGCTTTTAAAGTTCCTCCAAAAATTAGAACAAAAATGGAAGAAACTTTTCCCCCAGCCTAAAGGATATTATTCTGGGCAATAAAGAGCCACAGAATTAATTAGCTGTCTACCAAAGATCTACCATTAAAAATATATATGAGTAAAACGGTCTATAAAAAAAATTAGAATTAAATTTCTTTCAACCATTCTCACATCCTTAACTTCAATTATTCAGACCAGATAAAATTTGTCTTCAAGGACAGCACTTACCAACTTTTTCAAATCATGGCAAACATAGGAAATGATAGAATTTGTAGAGAATACTCAGGAAAAGGCCAGGGCTGCTTCAGCAGTCACCAACTATAAGGATCAATGGTGCTAGTCCCATGCTAACAACTCCCCATGCTAAGAATCAGGCACTCTTTTAAGAGTCTGGGATATATTAATGCACAACATGAGACAAAGAAACCCTGCTCTTGTGGAGCTTACATTCTAATGTTCACCTTCTTTTTTTCCCCCTTTGGTTCCAAATTTTTCCTATCCAAAAAAAGCAAGGGAAGGCAGGTGGTATATTAGAACTCTTTACAGCCACATTGGCAGCTAAGATTCCCTTCACTATTTCCCTGAAGAATCATCACCAGCACCACCTTTTTAAGCTACAAATTATTAAATAGAACTTCCTTCCCCATAATTATATTCAAACTGAAAACATGACTTCAGCTTCCTAACACCAATATAAGTGATTCTTAAATTACTAGCACTACAGGAGCTTATGATTCTTAAATTACTAGCACTACAGGAGCTTATAGTAATCTCATAATTTTAGAATGTCAACAATCATAAAGTTCCATCTTCTAAGTAAATAAAATTTTATTATTTTAAATAAAATAAAACCTAAAGTTGTTATTAAACCAAAAGTAAAGTTCACATCTTATCAGAGTTCCCATGTCAAAGTGGCACAAGTTATTCTTGATTTAGTACCTAATTTTTTGGCAATTGCATAAGCTTCATCTGGTGACTTTGCCACATGTCCTTTGGGAATAGAGACACCAGCTTCTTGCAGCAGTCCCATGCTCATGTACTCATGGAGTGAGAGATGCCTTTGCTGTGGCTGCTGTATTTGGAGTACATGGTTGTTAAATAATCCAGAACTTCCCAAAACCTAGAGAAATTGTAGACATATTTACATATGACAATGATTTGAAAGTTATTAAAAACACCTTTTCTAAATACTTTGCTTATATACAGTACTTGGTTCTTCAAAACCTAGAGAAATTGTAGACATATTTACATATGGCAATGATTTGAAAGTTATTAAACACACCTTTCTAAATACTTTGCTTATATACAATACTTGGTTCTTCATAACTGTTAATAAAATAATAAAACTATTGCATTAAATCATCAAAACATAATACTCAAGAGTACCTAAATTATAACCTAAGTGCGAATCCACTACCTAAATATCAAATTTTACCCTTGTGGTTTTAACTGTTACCGCATCATGTCTGATCCTTATCTTTTATACCATATCTCTAATGACCTATAAAAAATAAGAAACCAACAGATAATAACCCACTCTAGTCTACAAAATCAGAATCTCTGGACTTGGCCTAAGGAAATCTGAATTCATAAGAAGTCATTCAGTGATTCTTAAGCACCCTACAGTTTGAGAACCACTAGTCTATGAAGTCAATCACATGAAGTAGCAACTTATTTCTGGTTTATCTGGTAAACTAAAATCCTGGATAACATTTCACTAGGGTAGCTCAACTCCCTGATTTAGTGTCACTTCAATATTAAAAGCCAGCAACTTCCCAAACTATTCAATATACACCTACCTTTTGAAATCCCACTCATGGGTATATACCCAACAGAAATGAGTGTTTCATCTACCAAAAGTCACATGTAAGAATGTTCATAAGCTTATTCATAATATCCAAAAAAAAATGGGAAGGACCCAATTACCTATCAACAGAATGGATAAATTATGGCATATTTATCTAACAGGATACTACAGTGCAATTAAAAAAAATAAAAGAACTATTGCCCATAGATCAATAGATTAATCTCACAAACATAATTTTGAAGGAAAGAAGCCAGGCACAAAAATACAAACTTACATGATTTCTGTTTACACAGTTCAAAATCAGTCAAAACTTATGTATGGTGACAGAAGTCAAAAGTAGTAGTTATTTTCTGTTGGGGAGTATTGATAAGGACAGTCAGGCACTGGGTGCCTTCTGAGAACTTAAAACATTATATATCTTGAACCGAATGGTGACTACACAGATATATACATGCATAAAAATTAACCTGGCCACCTATAAGTTGTACACTTTATGTAAATTATACCTCAAAATAGTAATAAAAATAAGGGGAGGATAAGGAAGGAGTACCTAGCCATAAGCTTAGCAAAAGTAGTCATAAACTGAAACATTTTTTGAATCCCTATACACCAGACACTGTGCTAGGGACAATGAAAGAACAAGGCTGACATGGTTCCAGCTACAAAGTTCAGACATGTATAAAAATATATATATGACATATTTTATACAGACATGTATAAAAATATATAAGAGCAATCGTAGAGTCACTAGGTAGCACCTAGTTAGCTGGACAGACTTAAAAAAAAAAAGCACTACAGAGGCCTAATCCCAGTTTGGAAAAAAACCTAAAAAATACTTTGGAGACAACTGGGGAAATCATTTGAACTACACAATAAATATAGTGTTAAACAATGTTAAATTTCCTAAGTATGGTAATTATATTGTAGTTACTTAGGAGAATGTCCTTATTCTTAAAAGACATACTGAAATATACAGGGGTAAAGTACCTGCACTTACTCTCAAATGGCTTAGCAAAACTAAGTGAATGTAATCTTATACATACATCCATACGTATATAAACATATGTATATGTACATACATGTAATTTTTTAAAGATAAAGCACATGTGGTAAATGTTAAATTTCAGTGAAGGCAATATGTGTTCACTGTACTATTGTTAGAACATTTCTATCACTATGAAATTTTTCCAAAAAAAGTTCAGGGTAAACCCATGACACAAAACTCTTTTAAGTATATTTTTTATGGTTTCTTTCAAATACCCGTACTTACAAACAAATAGTCATACTCATAAGGTATCACTGGTAGCTTTTATAACCATTTAAAGGTTTTAATATCTGAAGTATTTTGATAATGCTTTGCTGGCACCACTAAAAGTTGTAACCTGAAATATCATCAGCTTTAAATTATGCTGCTGATACAAATTCCTTCATAATCACAAAGATGCCCATATTTAAGTATTTATCTTTCTTGACATCACTTAAGATTACTGCTAAAATGCCATGAATTCATGGCCAAATCCCTACCCAATACCTGTGCAATAACATACCTAGTTTAAATAATACTTATTCAAAAGTGTTAAAATGTAGTTGCTGGGTAGTGTGATTCACAACAACACAGAAAATATTTTAATTTTATCTGCTTGTAACCTGAACTATTTTTATCAAATATATATACTGGATATAAGATACAGGGAAACTAGAAGGAAGGTCAGAGAACTAAACAAAATGTTTAAGAGAATTTGCTAAACTCAATGTGTGACTTTGAACAAGTTTCCTAAGGTCCCACACTGTGTGTTTTCATCTACAAAAGCAAGGAGTTAGACTAAGACCCTTCCAAACTCTACAACTCAATTAATGAGAGGGTGGAAGAGAAAAGATGTTACAAGACAATGTATCAGGCATTTTCAAGAGACAAAGGCTTTTAAAGAAATTTCCAAAAGGATAAAGATTATCATTAGGATGAAAACGTATTTGTTTACCACATCCTCATTTTCTAAAAACTTGACACACCCTTTAAAACTCACAAGAAGGAAGTTCAAGGCCAAAAAAATCACTTCTATTAAGAGGCATATTCATGGAATTTGCTACATCTAGGCTGAAAGAATGAATAGCTTTAAAAAGAAAAAAAAATAGGTCTAAATCAATTTATTTGTCATATCTGAGAAGTTAGTTTCAGAACATAACCTTAAATTCTGGAATTATGAAGTCAACCATGTCCTTTCCCAAGTTTCTTGGTGTCAACATTAAAAAGAATGGACCAATTCTTACCCTCCGAAAAAACTGTGGAGCAGATCCAAGCACACAGGCTTTGGAGCCAAACAGTTATGGAATTAAACCTCAGCTCTGACCTTACCTGGTCCCTGACCTAGCCCAAATTACTTGTTCTCTTAGCTAGTTTCTTCATCACTGATGCAGATATTAAAGATGCCTTGCAGTGTTGCAGAAAAGTCTAGTGAAAGACTACATGCAAAACGCCTAACACAGTACTTGGTATACAGTGAAAACTCCAAAAACAAAAAAACTGTAACTATTATGCTATGGTCTATCCAAAAGACAATTTTCTTACTTCCCCATTGGTAGCTGGTAAACATCATCTTATTACCACTATTAACGAACAGAGCAGTACACAACTACTTGGAGAAAGTGGAAAACTTCCCTGCCTCGTCCCAGAAAAGGCCCGTCAGCGAGCACTGCTGGTTCTTGGAAGTCATTCCCATCTGTGACAGCTCCCAAGACACACAGAAGCACACGTGAAGGGCATTCCCCTTCCCCAAAGAGCGGCCGCGGAAACCACCGGGGCCGCACCGCGCCGGACGCGGGGTCGACAGCTCAAACTGTCTTGGCCCCTCACCTCCCACCCCAGGTCCCTCCGCCCCCTTGGAAACTGGGTGAGCTCGACAGTCGGGGCGCCGGGCTCCCCGCGGATAAGGGCCCGAGCAGAGCGGCGCGAACGTGGGCCTGCTCGCAGTCCTGGCGAGCAGCGATCCCGGACAAGCTGCCCGCGGGCCCGGCGAGACACCCCATGTCAGCAATGTCACGGACTGCGAGTGACCCCGAGCCGGGCCTCAAGTCCCCTCACACCTCGCCCGCAGGAGCCGGGTCTCCCACCTCGCCCTTTCTCCTGCCGACTCACGAAGCGAGAGCGGGCTGGGCCGCCATACCTGGGCGGCGGCCCGCAGCGCCGTCCGGGACTGGTGGCTCCTAAGGGTGGCGGCGGCCCGCAGACAGCTGTAGAGCACGGAGGCCGCCATTTCTGAGTCCGACCCCGTCCCCTCGGCGCCGCGCGCAGGCGCAGACACACCGGGCCCGAGCGGTGCGGCTGCACGCGCGCCAGCGCCGGCCCCACCCCCGCCTAACTCCGTGGCCGGGCTCGCCGGCCCCCGGCACGCTTTGCTCTTTAGAACTCCGCACCACGGCCTCAGTATCCCTTCCAGAAAGCGACCTGAGCATTTCCGAGTGAAATGTCATGGAGAGATGACCAGCGCCGCCACCTGTGTGAGCTTCTGGGCCTCATTGCCTCATGCGTGAGATGGGATTCATGCAAAGAAGTGCTGAATATCTGCTTTGTGCCAAGCACTGCTTTGATACAGCAGCGAATAAAACAAAAACAACACGGTCACTAGTTACCGATCCAGATGGCACACCGGAATCACCTGGGCAGCTTTTGAAAGGTACCTTCACCAGACCTCATCAGAGGAGTGAAGACAGGCATCTGTATTTCTTCGGATTCTCTAGGTCAATCAGATGCACACCGGCAGCATTGAAAACCCTGAGACGACGTGTGCCCCGTCAAAAAAATTGACCACTGGGCAATGCCTGAGCTCCTGTTCTGCTCTGCACACCTAGCTGTACCCAGAATTGCCTGAAGGGCTTCTAGAAATACCTTTGCTTGGGCCCCCTACCAAAGAGTCTAGTTCAGTTGTTTGGGGTAGGGCCTAAAGGGGTATTTTGTGAAAGTTACGCTAGTGTTTCTAATAAGCACCCAAGGATGATAGCCGCTCTTGTCTTGTTTTTCTCCTACACTGTCTCTTTCACTGAAGAGGAAGGGCTCAGTAAAGGAGAGAGGCAGCCAGTGGATTTAAAGTCAATAGACCTGGATTGAATGCTAGTTCTACCTGCTAACTGTATGGTCTTAAGCAAATCATTTATCCTCTAGGTTTCAGGTTCCATGTTTCTAAAAGTGGGTGTATTTGTTTCCAATAACTGCTTTAACAAATTGGCCACAAACTTGGTGGCTCTAAAACAACAGAAATCTATTGTCTTTCAAATCTGGAGGCCATAAATCCAAAATCATTACCAGTGGACCAGATCCAAGGTGTCAGCAGGGCCACACCCCTCCGGAAGCTTTAGGAGAAAATCTGTTTCTTGTCTTTTCCAGCTCCTGTGTCAAATATTCCTTCTTCTAAGGGTACATATACATTTAGAGTTTATGTACATATTCTACCATAATCTCCCCATCTCAAGATCTTTAGTTTAACGATGTCTGCAAAGTCCTATTTTGCCATATAAGGTAACATTCACAGGTTCCAGGGATTAGGACCATGGGCAGCTTTCAGAGGGCCATTACTGAGCCCACCACAATTGCACAAATAATGAATGCCCTGACTACCTGACTTATTCTACAATAATTACTTACTAAGAAATAGTAACGGTAAGATAAGCATGTGAAAACACCTTAAAATGTTATGCAAACACAAGCTATAACCATTATTATCACTTTCCATGACTCAACTTTTAAAATCTCCAATGATATGTACTAACCCCTGGCAGCTTCCCATCTGCTCTCACAGAACATCTCCCCTGAGGCGGAGCCAGGACCACCCTATGTTTATACAACCCCTTGTGAGAGTTAGAAAGGGAAGCGACTGCATCCTCGGGACACTTTACCTATTCTGTTGGAAAACTGGCAAAATATATTCTGCCATCTATCGAAAACTTGTAAGGGGAATTGGGCAAATAAGTAAACATATTAAGGTTAGTGGGAGTCAGGTTTCTTTGCATCAAAAAAGGAGTTAAAATATGAAAGAGTTTTCTCTTGATTGGAATGAAGTATTGATGTAAACTCTTGGTTTTCAAATACATAAAGATACATACAGGAATAAATGTAGATGTTGTATTAGTCAGGGTTCTCCAGAAAAATAGAACCAATAGGATGTGTATATATAAAAAGAGAATGAATATGTTAATATTTGGAATGGTCACATAACTCAGTGAACCAATACTTTTTTCAAATGATCAATACATGCAGGTACAAAATCATGCATGAGTAAAGATTCATTCAATATTCACAGTAGACCAATGGATTTCAAAGTAAGGGGAAAGTTCATTGATTCCACATTGGCAAAATCTGTAAGAAACTACCACTTGCTGAGTGTTGGAATACTGCCAAAGACAAATATCTGTAATTATCTGAAAAGGCCAATGCAATATCCCCCGCTTCCCCAACTATTTATCTGTGAATATTTTCTTCATACACTTCAGGAAGAACACATATTACAACCAACTGAATGCAGAAGCAGATGTAAGAATCTTGCTCTCTTCTATTAAGCCAGACATTAAAAAGAGATTTACAAAGTTGTAAAACAATGCCTCTCTTCTCACTAATGTTTTGGAAATAATTATTTTTCATAAAAAAGCATTTTGTTTGTTAACATGTAGCAGGCTACTATAGTTATTTTTAAAGTAAAATAAAATTTTCTCAGTTAAAATTAAAATGGTAAGTACTGATAGAACCACATAAACAAAAGCTCTTTAGGATCTTCAGCAACTTTAAGGATAGGAAAGGATCCTGAGACCAAAAAGTCTGAGGATTGATGGTTTAGTTGTTTTCTGTATTTAGCCTCCATACTTACAAGATTGTAACCTTACCTCACTTGGAATTCTTAATGCTTCCCAGGACCCAGGCCAGGAAGTTGCAGCTCACACCAGCTGGCATTCTTGCTATTCGTGGAAGACAGAGTGGACATCGGATACTTTTCCCTTACTTCTGTGTCATTCATTTGGGGTGCTATGGGCCAAAGAGTACACGACCAGTGAACATGGCTTGTAACCAAAGGGACACCATCCTCCACGTTAATGAGATGAATTTCAAATCAGAAAACCAGTTGGAACTGTCTTATGGAGCTATTTTAGACAAGTGTTCCTAAGCAAAGGAACAATTTAAAGGCCCATTTAGAACTAGGATTTAGGCACAATGTTGATTTACCACATTCCAGTCAAAGTTCAGCAGACCTCATTTGTTCATTTTTTATTGAGTTATCTTTTTCTTTCCTTTTGGTACATCAGTTACCTATAATATATATAATTATTCTAGAAATCACATTTATAGTTTATTATTCAAATGTATTAAAGTTCTACAGGTCAATCTACAATAATTAAAATCAAATATATAAAGTCTGAATGGTCTTATATTCAAATGCCAACTCAAATCAGCTGTTCAGGAAACAAATTGATTCATCTATCAGGTAAGATACACCTTCCAAAAGATAACAGAAAGGATGCCCAATTAATTCAGGCATATACTATTCTCTATAGGTTTGCTACAGAAATGATACTTCTGTTTTATTTGATGCATAAATTCTGTGAACAAGTCCTGGGGATGGCATTAAACAATTTCTTGAAAATTTTTCACAATGTTTGGATCACACACACTTGGGTTATAATGTGTACACCCCAGGTTTTGTAATGCCATGATGAAGTTCTGATATTTATCAGAATAAACTTTATAAAATTCTTGATCAGATAATAAAAAGATAAATAAAAACAATGTTTACCAATTGGTTTCAAGATAAAACTTTTTAACTGAAATTTGGTATTTACATTCAATTCAACAATCTGGAAATTATCCATGTGCCTGGCTAACTAGCTGACTAGCTTTAGATTAATTTCATCTATCAGTTCATTGAATTATTCAATGAACATCTATTGATATGTATACATATTGATGTATGATGTATGTCCAAAATATGTAATTGACATTATCCTGGGATGATGGAAGAAAACAAAATCCTTGTGCTATGTTCTTCCATACTTGGTAAATGTATCTTCCAGGCTAGCTGTGACCTTGGCTGGGAAAGTACTGATATCAGAGACAGATTTCAGTTACAATAAGGAAGGGATGGTAGAGAAAGGTTGATTACAGATTAAATTAATCTGTACAGTAAAATAAATGAATATTCATTTCAGAGAAACCTGAAGTTAGCTGTTCTCTAAGGTTGTGTTTTATTACTACACTGAAAGCTGCATGAAGGCAGGGACTAGATGTCTTGTAAACTGTTGTATCCTCAGGGTCCAGCACTATGTCCCTAGCAGACAGCAAAGTCCTTGAAATAGATTTGTTAAAAGTGGGAATGAATCTGTCACTAGAGTTGTAGTACAAAAGGGAAGTGGGCTAGAAAAACAGTGACATTTTAAACCTCCATTAGTGGAAATAAGGTGGACCTAGAACACAAAGGAAATTGAAAGCCTATGCCCTCAAGAGAAGCTTTGCAAATTGCCCTTACCCCCTAATTTCCAAAGTTGTTCCAGAAATAGAATATACCCCAGGAGGCCTCCTTCCAAGGTGAGTTCTCTACTACAGTAGAAGCTGAGCAGAAGCTGAAATAGGAGAGAGAGGGAGGGAGGGAGAGAGAATGAGGGAAGGAAAAATGGAACAAGAAAGAGATTTTGTTAGAAAAGAGGGTATAACTGTGTTCACTTGAATTCAAAAGTGGAAATTCAGGCCCTAATTAATTTTATTCTATGTTTTATAATAATTAGATAAGATGTTGACTAATTTTCCAGTGGTGTCTTAGGAGTAGGACTGGAAAGAAATGCCACATAATGTTAACAGTAGTTATCTCTGGCTGGTAGACTTGTTTTTTCTTCATTGTATGTTACCACATGTCTGTATTTTCTATATGGAATATATATGACTTTGAACTTTTAGAAAAATACTATGCCTCTTCCAAATTCCTCACAAGCCCAGAATATCTATTTTAGGGCAAAATTAGTTGCAAACTAAAGGAATTATAAGGCTTCAAACTAAATTATGTCTGGTAATTTTAGCAGTGCTGCATAAATGTAAAGAATCAATACATACTTAATTTAATGAAATGAAAGTTGTTAAAAAGGAAACAACATGAAAAACACCAGCTGTGTGACTTAATGTTAATACTTATCACAAAATACTATGTATAGTATATATGGGGGAAAGTTCAAGACTGCAGGAAAGCTTGATACCTATAGTGGAGAAAGACATTATAGGAAATTGGCATGATAAGCTACTAAAGTGGAAATAACTAAATAGCTATTATCATCAAATAGTCTCAGAGTGG